ATAGCAATAGCAATAGCAATAAGACTTATATACCGCTTCATAGGGCTTTCAGCCCTCTCTAAGCGGTTTACAGAGTCAGCATATTGGCCCCAACAACAATCCGGGTCCTCATTTTACCCACCTCGGAAGGATGGAAGGCTGAGTCAACCCTGAGCCAGTGAGATTTGAACCACCGGACTGCAGTCAGTTGAAGTAGCCTGTAGTGCTGCATTTAACCGCCAGAGAGACAGGGATATAAGCTTTGACCTATTGTACGACCCCTTTTACCACAGTTGTTAAGTGAATCCCTGCAGTTGTTCAGATAGTAAATGTTCAGTTATTATCTGAACAACTGCAGTTGTTACTACTAGTTGTTACTACTAGTTCAAGAGTAACAACTCTTCAGATAGCATTGTTCGGTGAATCTGGCTTCCCCATTGACCTTAATAATGGTACAAGGACAGAGTCGGAAGGGACCTCGGGGGTCTTCCAGTCCCTTCCCTCTGCTCAAGCAGGAGACTCTTAAAGAATCATAGAATGACAGAGATGGAAGTGACCTTGGAGGTCATCTAGCCCAAACCCCCTGCTCAAGCTGGACATCCTGAAACATTTCAGAGAAATGGCTGCCCCAATCTCCTCTGGTAAACCTCCACTCTGGGAGCCCCCAGAACATCTGGAGTTGCTTGTCACAAGGTCGCCACAGGGGATCGCTTGACACTGCATAAAGATGAGCTGGTTCGAATTTTGATCACATGACCATGGTGCTGCAACATTCGTAAGTGTGAGAAACAGTAATAAGTCACTTTTTTCAGCGCCATTGTAACCTCAGTCACTGAACAAACGTTTGCAAGTTGAGGACTACCTGTTTATTTTGCAAGTGTGGTGGGGGGTTGCCAATGGAAGGCTTGCTTATATTTTTTTTTCTCGTTTTTTGGTACACTTGAGAGAGATTATCATTTTTCAAAATCCTTTCTGTGGAGGGAGGAGAGGATTTTGTAGCTAAAGGGAAACACATGAAACGTTCCTTTTAAATCGGTGTTTTCCAAATATGGCCACCTTAAAATGCGTGGACTTCAACTCCCAGAGTTCCCCAGCCAGCCGTTTCTTTGTTGCAGAGAGATGGTGGACTTGCCAAGTGCTTTTCTCCCATCCTGCCCATCTTCTAACTCTGAAGGACGTTCAACAGGGATTGAGAAAGTGACGCTTTCATTGAACGTTATGTCCGTTGTTGGCTGCCATAGTACATTGGATCCCAACTCTTGAGCTGCTCAGTTCCTAGTGGCTCCCACAAAACCACCATTCCTGCATGTCAATCAATCAATCAGGACAGAGCTAGAAGGGACCTTGGAGGTCTTCTAGTCCAACCCCTTTGCTCAAGCGGGAGATCCTGAATCATTTCAGACAACTGGCTGTCCAGTCTCTTCTTAAAAGCCTCCACTGTTGCAGCACCCACAATTTCTGGTGGCAAGCTGTTCCACCAGGAGTCAAGGGGAGGGGGCTTCTGAGAGACCTTTAGGCGAGGGGAAGGGGCTTCTGGGGGGGGGGCTTGAAAGAGGGGTGTCCTTGGAGCCTTAGGGGAGGGGAGGGGTCTTCTAGGGCAGTGTTTCTCAACCTTGGTGACTTTAAGTCCTATGGACTTCAACTCCCAGAATCCCCCAGCCAGCATA